TTTTGTCCCAGACGAATTACAATAACAATAATGCATAAACAAGCTTCAAGGCTATACTACGACACTTGCAGTACACAATATACTGTGGTAACCCCAAGTTAATGGAACTTCCCCAAATCCGGGAATCTCCCACGACTGTACACTTACGACTTAGTATAAACAACAGATAACCTATTCAGACTTTAAGATGCCATCTTGAACTAAGTCAGGAAAATTTCCATGACGTATACACCCTTTAGTTATGGCCTTGTATGTTTGCCAAATTAAGGGAGGTCCTAAATTGAATAAAGTAAAAGAAGTGTTACTTTTTCATATTTGAACTACAGTAACCTAAAATGGAGACACCTAAGGTATAAATAGGTGTACTTTTAAATGTTAAGACACAGAGGAGAGACTTGGAGACAGACGCTGCTCCATCTTAAAATGACAGAGAGGCTGACATGATGACATGTTCAGAAGGGTATGTTAACCTATTAATGATATTTGCAAGCATGTAATTTAATCTTATAAACTCTGCTATAATGGATTTTATATTTTTATATAATAAATATCCAAAAGACAAAACGATTGCTTCCAAGACAATCCTTATTTTATATTGTATTCTCAATTATTTATATATGTTAAATAGAGGATCTCTTACACTATATAAAATTATGGCTAAGATATCTGTATGGTTAGCCCTACTAAGTTCTATGCTTTAAGACATTATAGTGGTAAATAAGGGAACCACACACGGTTACACACCTGAAAAGGATTGTCAATTACCAGTGCTATTAAGTACTCCCCTGCCAAGGAAGAAGGGAGATTGTGTTTGGTTTCTGTGAGTGGAAACAGAGAGCTGAAAACCCTGAAGCAGTAAGGCTGTTTATGTTTATGTTTATGTTGGGAAATGGACAAGCCATCCAACCCAGTTAGCTGATTATTTTGTTTAGTTAGTGCTCAGAAGAGCAAGGCTTTTGTTTGATATATTTTTGTTACCTTTATACCTTACTGTGCATTTATTTTGGAACCTCAATAAAAGAGCAAGTCAGTTTACCTCATCCAGCGTAAACTGCAGAGTGGGGCTGGTACCAAAACTGGCACATGAGATGATTATTGGAAGGGATTTTCCCCATTTTCTAGACCTATGGGCATGTTTTGAAAACCCATCAGGTGAACAGAATGATGAATTTCCTTTTGCAGATACTCTGGCAGATGAGAGAGATCATGATGATGAGCCTAACAGTATGCAGCACTCCCCTATAAAAACATTAGTTGGTGAAAACCCAGAACAAACTAATGCGGGACCTTCTAGAAGCTCTGAACCAGATATAGAGTTAGTTGATTTAGAGGTTAGGCCTGGTAACTTCAGAAGTGCACAGTGGTCTGACCCAACATTATTGGTAACCAGGAATAATATTTCTATAAGGAATGGATCCCCTGTCAATACAGGGAATTCTCTTACTTACCCTTATTTTGAAGTGGATAATGATCTGTTGTACAGAGTTGAGAAAAAAGAGTCCGTTATTACAAAGCAGCTGTTAGTACCACAAGCCTATTGGCGCACTGTGTTAAATCTTGCACATAGCCATGTTTTGGGGGGTCACCTAGGGGTTGACAAGAGAGCGTGTTTTGAGGAGATTTTACTGGCCTGGAGTAATCGCAGCTATCAAAAACTACTGTTCGTCATGCCCTGAATGTCAGGTCACTGCGCCCTTTACGGCTTACCGTAGCCCTTTAGTACCCTTGCCTATTATTGAAGTGCCTTTTGAACGTATTGCTATGGATTTTGTGGGTCCTCTGGTGAAATCCAGTAGGGGGCATCAGTATATATTAGTAGTACTAGACTATGCTACCCGTTACCCTGAGGCAATACCTATGCGCACAACCTCAGCAAAGTCCATTGCTAAAGAGTTAATGATGATGTTTAGCCGGGTTGGGATTCCCAAGGAGATCCTATCAGATCAGGGTACTCCATTCATGTCCAAGGTTACAAAGGAACTCTGCAAGCTCCTTCACATTAGACACCTCAAAACCTCTGTTTATCACCCACAAACCGATGGTTTGGTTGAGCGATTTAATAAAACCTTAAAGGCTATGCTGCGCAAAGTAATTGATAAAGATGGGAAAAACTGGGACTTTCTATTGCCCTATTTAATGTTTGCCATTAGAGAAGTACCCCAAGCTTCCACGGGTTTCTCACCTTTTGAATTATTATATGGCAGACACCCCAGGGGATTACTTGACATAGCAAAGGAAACTTGGGAACAAGAAGCAAACCCACATCGCAGTGTAATAGAACACATAACTCAGATGCAGGAACGTATTGAAGCCATTATGCCAATAGTCAGAGAACACATGCAAAAGGCTCAACAAAATCAGCAGAATAGCTATAATAAGGATGCTAGAATTCGAGTATTTCAACCAGGAGACAGAGTACTAGTCTTGGTTCCCACAGTAGAGAACAAATTCCTGGCAACTTGGCATGGGCCATATGAGATTATTGAAAGAGTGGGAGAGGTAAATTATAAAGTAAGGCAACCAGGTAGAAGAAAGGAAGTGCAAATATACCATGTCAATTTGCTAAAACCATGGAAAGAAAGGGAAATTCTGGTTACTACAGAGGCTTCAACCTTCCTTGATAAGTGTAATATTGACCCCGAAGTAAATATCTCAGAGACCCTGTCAATACACCAGACAAGGGAAGTTAAGGAGTTTATTAGATTAAATAAAGAGGTATTCTCCCCAGTCCCAGGAAGGACTAGCGTGATTAAACATGACATTTTAACAGAACCAGGAAAAAGGGTCAATCTCAAACCATACAGAATACCCGAGGCTCGTAGAAAAGCTATCAGAGCAGAGGTTAAGAAAATGTTAGATCTTGGAGTCATTGAGGAGTCACAAAGTGACTGGAGCAGTCCAATTGTGCTGGTACCAAAGCCTGATAATACAGTACGGTTTTGTAATGATTATCGCAAACTGAATGCTATTTCTAAGTTTGATGCATACCCCATGCCTAGAGTTGATGAGCTAGTAGAACGACTTGGGAGAGCTCGGTACCTCACTACACTAGATTTAACCAAAGGTTATTGGCAAGTACCACTCACAGAGCGAGCAAAAGAAAAGACAGCATTTTCTACTCCTGACGGCCTATTTCAGTACAGAGTTTTGCCTTTCGGCTTGCATGGTGCCCCTGCCACATTCCAAAGAATGATGGACAGAATACTAAAGCCGCATGTGCGCTATGCAGCTGCATACTTGGATGATGTTGTAGTACACAGTGAGGATTGGGAATCTCACCTTCCAAAAGTACAGGCTGTCCTTAACTCAATACAAAATGCTGGCTTAACTGCTAACCCTAGTAAGTGTACGATTGGCCTAGAGGAAGCAAAATATTTGGGCTACTCTATTGGTAGGGGACTAGTGAAACCCCAAGTTGCTAAAATTGAAGCCATACGAAATTGGCCGAGACCACTGACTAAGAAACAGGTGAGAACATTTCTTGGCCTCATTGGCTATTACAGGAGATTTATATCCAATTTTGCTACAATTGGAAGCCCATTAACTGACCTTACTAAAGCTAATGCTCCAGTAGTGGTAAAATGGTCCCCAGAGACGGAACAAGCATTCAGAAAGCTTAAAGAAGCCATTTGTGCCCAACCAGTGTTGGCAACACCTGATTTTTCTAAAGAATTTATTTTACAGACAGATGCATCTGATGTAGGACTAGGTGCTGTTCTCTCTCAAGAAATTCAGGGTGAGGAGCACCCCATATTATATTTAAGCAGGAAGCTTGATCCCCAGGAAAGAAACTATTCCATTGTTGAGAAGGAGTGTCTGGCTATAAAGTGGGCGGTAGACACACTTAAGTACTATCTCTTGGGATGAAAATTCAGACTAGTGACAGACCATGCACCCCTTACTTGGATGAGCCAAAACAGGGAGAAAAATAGTAGAGTAACCCGCTGGTTCCTTAGCTTGCAACCCTATAATTTCTCCATTGAGCATAGGGCTGGGAGTAAACAGGGAAATGCAGATGGTCTTTCGCGGATGCACTCTCTAATGTCCATGGTCGCTCGACCCTATAGGTCTGAGCTGGGGGGGAGGATGTGTGACAGAAAGCAAGGAATTGTGCTGGAAGGAACCTATATACCTCCCCAGATTTTGCAAGGTTCTTACTTTGTGTAATTAGCCCCAGGGAAATGTGTTATGTTCTAATGAATGTTGCACTTTAAATATGTGTATATTTGGGCCCTGGGTGGAGCACCTGGAGAGTAGGGTGGGCCAGTGCTCCACTCCACATTTTGGAAGTTGCTTGGTGAGAAGTCCAGTTCTGGAGTTTGAATCCTAATCTAACTCACCTGAAAAGGATTGTCAATTACCAGTGCTATTAAGTACTCCCCTGCCAAGGAAGAAGGGAGATTGTGTTTGGTTTCTGTGAGTGGAAACAGAGAGCTGAAAACCCTGAAGCAGTGAGGCTGTTTGTGTTTATGTTTATGTTGGGAAATGGACAAGCCATCCAACCCAGTTAGCTGATTATTTTGTTTAGTTAGTGCTCAGAAGAGCAAGGCTTTTGTTTGATATATTTTTGTTACCTTTATACCTTACTGTATATTTATTTTGGAACCTCAATAAAAGAGCAAGTCAGTTTACCTCATCCAGCGTGTGAAGTGTCTCTAAAGCCTGAAAAGACTGTGTGTAACACCCCAATCCCAGGACAAGGTACCAAGGGAAAGGAGTACTTTTGTCACATAATATTGAAATATGTCATTTTCTTCACTGCTAAAGGAGACAGTGTCTGTGATCTGCAATACACCGGGGTTGTTTACTAGAATTGGGGTTTGTGAAAAACCAACCTTTCCAACTCCGTTGCTGTTCAAATCAAGCTATTTTGCCTAAAATGTGCCCAAATGACCACATTTCATGGACTAGGGGAGAAACCATTTGTTATTCTAAGTTATAATTTTTTAGGTTTGGATATGGTGTTTTTTTTTTCTCTCCAAAAAATACAAAGTTCAAAATTTACTGTACAATAAAACCTTCTGATTTTAATAGACTTTTGGGCATCATCGATGCTGAACAAAATCCAGCACTTGTATTAAAAATAAATAGAATAAAATCAACTATGTGATCGTAAAGGTGGGTATTTTACAGATTCCGTAACACTGTTTCCTAAGTCCAGTTTGTATCCGGATAGCGCGCCATGGGATGATGTTTCCGTGCCTGGGAAGCCAGTTTCTGTCTCAGATCTCGTACTTCATTTATAAGAATGCGTTCTCGGAGGTCTAGGTCCGCTCTGCCTCGGTCTAAAGAAACTTTAAGGAATAAAAGCATAGGATTATTTAATAACATTGCTCGATAAGACTGTTTTTTTTATATTATTGAAGGGTAGAATATAATTTACATTTAAAGACAGACAATCAAGGGTCACGTGTCTACTACGTCACACCGAAAAGACATAAGCTATAAATATCAAACATAGGTCTCGATTTATTAAGCTTTCCAACTGATTTATCTACAGAAGTCACCATTAAAGTCTATGAGAATTTTTGCAATAATTTGAAAAGGTTTTCTAACAGTACTGAATGATTAAGCAGTTTTGGTTCTGGTGCTTAGAGTGTATCTTTAAGGATTTATAATTGGGAAGACTGGAAAAAACTAAACACACACACAAAATGATCAATGAATATGGTAAAGAGATTTATTTACAGGGATTTTAGGGAAAAATATGGGAGATGGAAAAAAAGCTAAGTTGGTACTATATGCATATTTTTAGTTATATGCTACAAACATAATGTTAATGTATGGGGAAGCAATCTTTTGAAATTAAGCCCCATTTTGTCTGGCACCAAATCTATTAATGATTGTAAAGTGCATACTTAGAAGTGTTCTCAAAGGAACACTCCAAGCTGCATAACCATTTCAGCTCGACTGCCCCTTCCCCTCCACAGTAAATAGTCAAACTGTTTTTGAATGGTTTGACTTCTTACTGGGGGTCTGCCTGGCATCACCCCTTACTACCAATGTTGAAAGGTCCTAAGAAAAAGTGTTCCTTTAATAAAACATTTTAAAATATGACCACCCCCTTTCCCATTGGTGTCAAGCATTTAAAAATCTACTATTAACAACATACATAACACCAACATGTCTCTAGAAAAACCTACAATGAGCAGATGAATCCGAGGAAGAGACATCATTTAAACAGACGTTCCCAGGTCTCTGTTGATCTTCTGTTTTTCGTTGCTCCGAATTTCTCTCAGAGGAACCAAGTCTTAAATTGCAGAGTTTTTCTGTGCGAAACAAAAACATATACCAGAAACCTAATATTTAGAAAAACTAGGATACAGTCTGATATCAACCCTAATAAAACAAGTCACAACACATAACATACCAGCATTGTCATGCTACCAATAGATTTACCGAAGCTGTGCCACAAGAACGAAAGTAATAAAAAAAACAAACACATCGAATTCACAAAGATTAATGAAAAAAAAAAAAAAAATTACAAATTCTTTCTTAAAAAAATTAAAAAATTAAAAATAAAACAGGAAAAACCTTGAGTAACATTGATTTAAATCAAATCTTAAATATCTACTTATAAGCACTCACAAAGTCATGTTTTTAATTAGAAAAAATATATAACCACCAACTCAATGATGATTTCCAACAGCAGTGAAACCATAAACCCAAGGTAAATGTTTTCTTATGCTTAACACATTTTCTTTGCATTTCATATACTGGCATTACAACACTCGATTTCAGATACATCAGTGATAAATAGTGCTCGACTGCAACAAAATTAAAAAAAAAGATAAACCAAGAATACTACTAACCAAAACAATCATTTTCATCTTCTAGGACATCTTCGGGGTGAACCTCTTGAACCATGCCAGTTTGTAAAAAGCATTTCCTTTGGTTATCCAATACAGATGTTTCATGTTGCTCACTTTCCAGCTGAGCTCTTCTGTTTGAGACATCGGCCCACTAAAATGACAATGACATAGGTATATGTTAGCACAAAAAGGAACCCAGAAACTGCTGTTAGAACTGGAAAACAACAAACTGCAGTGAAAATATGGATATGTGTAGGTTGCAAAATGCATAATTTTACTGCATGTTAAGAAAGCAGTTTAAAAAACAAAACAAAAAACACATTTGCTGCCAACCTTTTCTGAGTGGACCTATCCCCTTTATGCCCAGTACGAACCTCCTAGTTAGTGCTGGGCAGGGACAAATCAAAAGCTTCTCATACAGAAGCACTGTGGAATATTTTATGAACACTTCCGCAAATAACCGCTTAGTGGATAACAACACACATATTTGGAATATGTAAAAACATACATATTAAAGTATATTTAACATTATAACATTTTTTAATATTGGACGTTTTACAAGAACATTTCGCAAAAACTCTGCTGACCTGAATGGCATTAGCTGCTTCACAGCTCTGAGCAGGGAGATAAGAACCCCCTCCGCACCTTTCTTAATAGGACAATGAAATAGCCTCAAAGGAGAGGAATGAAATGTATACAATAGGACAAGGCTCGATATTTCCACTCAGCACTGCTTGCCTGGGCTAAATGTCCACTAGAGTGTGTAGTGTGGCTTGCAGTGGCAAATAACCTCTAGGGCCTGGACAACATATTTTAACACCCAGCAAAGGTTAGCTAAATATAAGGCCAGAGTAGCCAAACTGAATGCATAGCTGACTTAGGAGAAATTTTCCAGTTTAACTATTCTAACCTTAAATGTGAATTCTCACTTTATTAAAAAAAAAACTGCAAATGTTTCCCGAGAGCACATTGACACTGAAAATGGGTGAAATGGGCACAGGGGGCGTTGCAACAGACAAGTAGCTGCACTGGGAAAGTACAACAAAGAAATAATTTACACGGAGTATAGAAACTTTGCAGCTCAGGTGAACATTACCAATATTTAATAATGATTTAGATTTCAAAAATGGTGAAACAGATTAAGCATACATACTGTAAGACAGAGGGTCAGCAGAATCCTAACTAGTAATTAGAACTGGTGAATCAGATTAAGCATGCATACTGTAAGACAGAGGGTCAGCAGAATCCTAACTAGTAATTAGAACTGGTGAAACAGATTAAGCATGCATACTGTAAGACAGAGGGTCAGCTGAATCCTAACTAGTAATTAGAACTGGTGAATCAGATTAAGCATGCATACTGTAAGACAGAGGGTCAGCAGAATCCTAACTAGTAATTAGAACTGGTGAATCAGATTAAGCATGCATACTGTAAGACAGAGGGTCAGCAGAATCCTAACTAGTAATTAGAACTGGTGAAACAGATTAAGCATGCATACTGTAAGACAGAGGGTCAGCTGAATCCTAACTAGTAATTAGAACTGGTGAATCAGATTAAGCATGCATACTGTAAGACAGAGGGTCAGCAGAATCCTAACTAGTAATTAGAACTGGTGAATCAGATTAAGCATGCATACTGTAAGACAGAGGGTCAACAGAATCCTAACTAGTTAGAGCACTGGTGAATCAGATTAAGCATGCATACTGTAAGACAGAGGGTCAGCAGAATCCTAACTAGTAATTAGAACTGGTGAAACCATACTGTAAGACAGAGGGTCAGCTGAATCCTAACTAGTAATTAGAACTGGTGAATCAGATTAAGCATGCATACTGTAAGACAGAGGGTCAGCAGAATCCTAACTAGTAATTAGAACTGGTGAATCAGATTAAGCATGCATACTGTAAGACAGAGGGTCAGCAGAATCCTAACTAGTAATTAGAACTGGTGAAACAGATTAAGCATGCATACTGTAAGACAGAGGGTCAGCTGAATCCTAACTAGTAATTAGAACTGGTGAATCAGATTAAGCATGCATACTGTAAGACAGAGGGTCAGCAGAATCCTAACTAGTAATTAGAACTGGTGAATCAGATTAAGCATGCATACTGTAAGACAGAGGGTCAGCAGAATCCTAACTAGTAATTAGAACTGGTGAAACAGATTAAGCATGCATACTGTAAGACAGAGGGTCAGCTGAATCCTAACTAGTAATTAGAACTGGTGAAACAGATTAAGCATGCATACTGTAAGACAGAGGGTCAGCTGAATCCTAACTAGTAATTAGAACTGGTGAATCAGATTAAGCATGCATACTGTAAGACAGAGGGTCAGCAGAATCCTAACTAGTAATTAGAACTGGTGAATCAGTCTCAGGACAAACCTTTCTTGTCTCCAGGTCTTTAATGACATCGAGTAGCTCCTTTTCTTTTTCCTTAACGTCTTCTGCTAGTTTTACAACCTTATCATAACATTTTCCCCGGTCAACATCATCTAGTTTCTGCTTGTTAAGGGCTTGAATTTTCAATTCGGTCTCCAAACACAGACGATCAGCCTGTGCCAAGCTCTCTTCAAGCAACTATTAAAAACAAAGACATGGAGGAAGTACAAAGATAAAAATTGAACTTCTATACTGTTAAAAAAATCTTGTTAAATCGCCTGTTGGACTGGGAGCTAAGGGTAAGACCAGTTCTATGCCTTATTGAACATTTCCAATTCAGTGGCAAGTCGAAAAATACAAACAAGAAAAAACTACAATAACAATGTGTTTAACATTTCAAGTTATTACCATATGAAACGGTTATATAAACCTTACCAAAACTGATATGCAACAAAAGGTACTCAGAATAAAAACAAGAAATAGAGAAAGAAAAATATATAGTGTAGTATTTTAATGAAATCAAGTTAAAAACATCTGAGTTGATACACTCACAAGTAGAACTCTCCAGTGCGGTTCTACCAAATATTATTCCAACAGAGGAACTTGGAAAAAAAAAGTGAGTAAACTTTGGAAAGGCATGCAGGGTAATAGGAAAAAGGGCACAAAGTTGTTGGCACTTCCAGTGTACATACTAAAGGCAGGACAGGAAAATCTACCCCCCCTGAATTTATAGATCTTTTTTAGGTTTGGCGTTTCCTGAAATATCTGCAGTAGTGTGGGATTATCTCACTATATGTGGAATCAGTGACAGTAAGGAAAACAAAGATAGTAAAATTGTGAAAGTTACTTTTACCCATTAAGTTTAGATAATTTCTCACTGCAAATTTGGAAGTTTTACATATTAATTCAGATTGTGTGCTCCTATGAGTAATGCTTGCTTTTTATAAATGAAAAAGAAAATACATTATATTTCAGGACAGGGACCTTCTCAGGAAGCATGAAAGCCAAGTTTTTCATGTTCATTTTTCATATAATTAAACTGCTGATCCAAAGTGCCGCGCAGGACAGAAACAGAGATTCTGCTTCATTCATTTTGAAACACTGACCTTCTGATCCTTGAGGTCGTCTTTGTTTTCCATGAGTCTCCAGAACATTTGTTCTTCAAGGTCGGCCTTTCTACGGTTAGTGTCCAGCTCCCCTTTCAATTCCTGAGTCACAGCTTCCTGCTCTTTTGCCAGTTTCTGTATAAGAAGAAATCATTTATTGTTCACCCAATCAGGTGATCTCTGTTTACATTGTTATTGATAGTAAGCCTCTCTAGCTGCCTTTTAGATGCCAGGAGCATTTCAAATTAATTTGTCAAACAAAGCATGTGAAAATAATATTGCACTGCTCATATTTTGCCAAATATTGAATTCATTTTGGGATGGTTACGCAGTGAGGTACATCTGTGACCTAATCTTTTAATAAATAACAATGGGCTTTAAGTGTTGGATATAAGGTAGATTATTATCAATTCTCTGTTAAACCTAAAATGAACTGGGCCACTAATTGCAGTAAAGGAATGACACTTACTACATAAAGACTGACATAAAGACTCCATTACAAAAGCCGTCTTGTGGAAATCAGTTTAATAAAGTGCCAGAGGCATGAGCAGAATATTGCTTTTGAAATGTATCCCTTCCCATTGTGCCCCTCCCTTCCAGTAATTAAACAGATTTTCTTTTTCAAGAAACAACTTTCTCAAATAAAAGAAAAGAATAAATAAAAAGAAAACTATTAGTACTGCATAGAGTAGAATTCCCAGTAAGAGCCCTACTTGTTCAAAGAACCGTCGCTGTGCTTCAAGTTCCATTTGCCGTATTTCAACATCTTGAACTACCGTGGCGGTTTCCCTTTCCCGCATAGACATCTGATACAGTAACAAATAAACATCAGAACAGTTGTAGAAATGCATTATGGTTTAACTTTTTCATCATCGTAATTGCAACATCCAATCTTGTTTAATTTTAATATTCAATTAGCTAGTCAGTGTGGAGACTTTTGCTTGTTTTTTTTTTGTCCTAACCAATCACAATGCGAGAGGGGATTCGTCTATGCTGCAAGTTTGTAAAAAGAGTACCATTACTACATTCTGCAAGACTAACTGGTATTGTGATAAATGGCTTGTTTATAGCAGTACAGCACTGAAAAAAAAAAGATACCTTTACTAATTAGGAAGGTATGTGTGCATTGCAAGATCAATTATAAAATGCAATCAATACAATCTGCTAAGTCTATATATTAAATAAAGTTATATCCATTTGAAGTTTTTAGACATGGTCTGCATACTTTCACAATTCCTAGTGCACAGCCACTCCCTATGCATTGTGGGAAGACCATACTGCTTGGGCTCTCATTGCCATGTTGGCAGTTTGTACAACTACGCGGATAGCACATTGATGGAGGCTAAAATGAGCAAAAATAGTTTTATCTGTATAGTTGCTAGTAATTTGGCTCCCACAATGGATACATAAAACTTTGCTTCACAAAAGGCCATCAGGCTAATTGCAGGAAAAATGGAGTTTAGCTATTAAAAGGACACAGAGTGCAAATCAGAAAAGGAAATACAACAAACAAACCACACTGTGGGTAGAAGTAATCAATGCGATGATCAAATGATAGAGGAATATAGGTATGCTAATCTAGGAGATCCGTACAGTGAATGTTGCTTTTGTTTAAAGAGCAGTACCTTTCGTTCAATCTCATCATCCAGTCGTTTTAGTTCCATCTTGCGTTGTTCCTGCTGATATTTTAGAAAACGTCTTCGCGCTGCCTCCAAAAGCTGAAGCTCCTTCAGTTTGAGCTCACGTTTTACAGCTGCCAGCCTGGACAGGACAGATCAGGTTATAATATGTCATTGCCCATAAGGTATGGGATTCCTGGTATTTGTCCTAACAGTCAAACAATGTAAATAATAAATGTTCAGCTGCAGGGAGACTGGCTAAAGCTAAATAAGACAAGGAAAGAAACAAACCCCTGTAAGATTATAGTATATTGCACTAATATTGAATATTGTTATTTCTGTATCCTTGGTACATCAGTATTATTGTTCTTAGGTTGGAAGATTCCCGAGTTGCGGGAGAAACCCCCCCAAGGATTTTTTTGTGCTTACATTAAAAACAACAAAACATATTTGGTCTCATTGAAAATGCAAACGTTTTGTGATCGCCTATATCACTGCTGCATACCAGTTTGTCTTGTGCATCAATTATATTCTGGTTTGGTGATTTGAAGTCAAGATGCTTCTCATTCAGAGCATCAACACCAAGTTAGAAAGGGTGTAGTAATGATGGATATATGATCAGTTTGATGGACCTCTCAAACAATACCTTTGCCTTTGATGTAGCAGTTTGTCTTCCTCTTCCTTTAGAAGTTTCCGTCTCTGTTCCTCTGCCCCGCGCAGTAGTTTCTGCTGCTGGTACCAGGCTTCATCTTCCACCCTGCGCTTCAATGCTTCAGTTTCTACTTCGTGAGTTAATTGTCTGTGGTAAATAAATAAAAAGAGGGGAAATGAGAGCAGGACAGAAGCTCTCCTACAGATGGTTCTCCTACACTCTGTTACAACGCTGTTCCCTTAGCATGCATTTTCTATAGGAAAGATTGGACTGATGTCACTCCATCTAAACACTACTACAGTGACAGTGAAGTTAGGAGGTGGTAGTCATTAGCTTTAGGGAAGTCAGATACCCAAATAAGATCAGTAATGAAACAGCGGTGGGAACCGGGCAGTTGGTGCTACAGTAACGTATACTGCATAGACCTTTAAACATGACAGCGCTGACACACTGGAGAGTAGGTGAGATCATAAATCTAAAGCATTACGATATACAATTTATCTTTATGACAAATTATGTATTTAATGCTGCAAAAAATGATAAATGTTTTGTTGAACATGAACAAGTTCCCTTTAATACAGAGAGAAGATAGTATTACTGGCATTTATAAAGTTTTAAAAAGTTCTGCAGAGGTGTACAATTGGGGGAAAAGACAGTACAATGAACACAGTATAATACTAAAGGTAAAAAGGGCTCTGCGGATGGTATATAAAATGAGGGACAGAGTACACCTTGCGGTGTGATTGCATCAGTACAAAACTACAAAGCTTACAAATTATGATGTAGTCTCCTATTGTACTACTCAATACATCAAGGGTACCTGGCCTTCCTTATGTTGTCTCCCAGATAGCAGCCTGTGACAACCCCACCAAATTCCTGCCTGACTACATTATCGGTCCGTCCTGCTCGCAGGACAAGAAAGAACCGATGGTCTGGATTTCAGAAGAACTATTTAAGGTATCAGGTAATGAGGGGACTAATATTAAAGGGACACTATAGTCACCCAAACCACTTCAGCTCAATGAAGTGGTCGGGGTGCCAGGTCCCTCAGGTTTTAACCCTTCACATGTAAACATAGCAGTTTCAGAGAAACTGCTATGTTTACATAGCAGGGTTAATCCAACCTCTAGTGGCGGTCTTCCTGACAGCCGCTAGAGGCGCTTCTGCGACGTTAGATGCGAAGCTCGCATCCAATGTGCAGAACGTCCATAGGAAAGCATTGAGAAATACTTTCCTATGGACTGTTTGAATATGCGCGTGGCTCTTGCTGCGCATGCACATTCCGCTCCACTAGGGAGCTGACGTCAGCGGGAGAGGAGAGGTCACCAGCGCCGAGGGAGTCCGGCGATGGATTAAGGTAAGCTGCTGAAGGGGTTTTAACCCCTTCAGCGCCAAGGGAGGGGGGCCCTGAGGGTGTGTGTGCCCCAAGGATGCTATAGTGTCAGGAAAACGAGTTTGTTTTCCTGAAACTTTAGTGATTCTTTACCTCTGTTTTAGATAAGAAGTTACCTGTCCAGCATAATTTGGATATCTCTGGTGTACTACTGCTATATGTTACAAAAATACAATTCACATTAAAAGGTTAAAAAGTACACTCTGTAATGATGCAGTATACCATGGACGATGCTTGTTACAATGTACCTCTGATATTCCATGGGTTAACCTGCACATAACTTCATTTCAACATAAAACAACAAGCACACATTTGGAAATTAAGGAGTTAAGTCATGTACATTATATGTAGCAGTATTAAACTGTGCTTGCCCCTGACTCTTTGCACTTAAAACTGCAAAATGTATTAATGTAAATAAAGCCTTCAATAACAGCATGTGAAGTGCTTTGTGCATAGCATATTGTTGTTTGCACACTAAAGGGGAATCTTTAATTTTTACACCTTTGATTAATACATTGAAAATCACCTATAACTTGTGTTAACCTTTTTCACTGAGATGCTCTGGATTCTTTTAAATTTATACTAAGGATTCAAGAAATGATATCATAATCTAGGGCAAACAATGCAAACGAGGAGGAGAAATAGAAACATTGATTAATCTCTCCTGTTCTCTGTATGCTCTCTGTGAACTACCATTGACAGGAAGCTAAGATGGTGGCACTCAGTTGTAGGACAAAAAAAAGGTGTGGATTTCTACATTTCATTTTATTTTTCATACCTCTCTAAAACATATTTGTCAATAGAATAATAGAGATTTAACAATATTAAAAATCTTGGGAAGTAACTGTTGTCCTGGAAAGAGATAAAAACATAGTTTTCTCATGTACCTCTCGCGCAAATATTCCATTTCCTCCTGCCTAATCCTCTCTCGCTCCTGACTCTGGTAATCGACAATGAACTTGGGGTATTTGTTGAATATTGGATACTGCCCTTTAGTAAGTGGCACAAAGTCAGTTATCAAACGCTGTGGGTGGATGTCTGCAGGGGTGGCATCCACGAGATGATACGCTTCTTTGATCATGTTGTTAATATCCAAATTATTCCGGTGATGAAAAAAGTACTAGACAAACCAAAAGTACAAACATGCGTCAGAAACCTTATGGCACCAATGATAATCTTCATTATGGTCTACTATGCTTGTATACATATCAAAGTTGCATTTATTTGACATATACACTCATTGCATTGGTTATTATGCAATGAGATTCCCTATCACTTACTTCCTGCACAACAATCAATTTAACTCTAAGCCTGCTACTTTTACCTCTAATGTCATAAGAGGAATCTTTACTTTTTCTCCTGATCATACATCAATTTTGACAGGGGTCTGCAGGGAGAGGGGCTCTCTACAGCTGCTGCCGGGGAATTAGCAGAAAAGGGTAAATATGTCTTAATTTATTATTCCTATTTTTAATGCATTATCTATATGATGTGAGGAAAATAGGGGATACTTCTGGCATGAAGTGAACCTTTAATTAATTAATTCCTGGGGTTTTGAATTTAAGTATTTATTACACTATGGATATTCTACGAATATAGTTAAGTAAAGTGACCTTGTTCTATGTCCCTGTGACTGTGAAAGTGAGATTGCACTGAAATGTAATTTCAAATATAGTTTCAATAATATATTAAGGCATTACTTTCTGGGTCAAAGAATCTAAGCTTGTTGGCAAAACATTATCTCCTAAATCTTTATTCAAAATTTACCTGCACCGTTGAACCATACAATCTGACAAAATGATGTGACATACGCAAGTTACAGAGGAGAATGCAGAGAAATTTCATTTTTCTTCTTCTTCAGAATGGCCATATGATACAATTCTTTAGATCATTGTTACTGAAAATTGTGTATGTTACTCCAAAGATATGCAAGATTGCAATATAAAGAGATCGTAGGATAGAGATATCATCCAGAACTTAGGAACATGGTGCAATAGATTCCTTACCTCAAAGTCATCCTTCTGGTTGCAGTACAATAATGGTGACCGAGAGGATATGACATAAGCTACAACAGCCATCAGAAGGAACGAAGGGTGGTTAGAAAACACGTTATCAAACAGCTTCAGCCATTCTTCTCTTGTTAAAACTTCAGAAAACAGCGTTTCCAATAGAGGCCATGCATAAATCTACAGAGAAAACATGACATTGAAACACATTTAATACAAATTTGTCTTGTTTTTTTGTTAAATGGGAAGAGTTAAAATTTTAAAGCAACAATATCATTCAAACAAAACCTACAATTACATTTTTATTACACTTTAACTTTATGTAACGTTTGGTAGAAAATGCATTTGAAGAAAATAATTAACTTCCATTTAATCTACCCCGCTAGACTCTGCCCATGGCTCTGCACACTGAAAATTATCAAATGGCTGGTAGAAAAAAAAAAAAAAACCTACGGAAAAATGCATGGGCTATTTGGACATAATCTAAAATCTTGATACTTGGGTGATATTGCTGATATTCCATTAATTAATAATTCCTTTAGAATAAACTAACAGGAACATATATAACGAATGTAAAACTCTAAATTCTGACCAATGAATGCTGGCAATGAAGTATAACATGTGCAAGTCCTATAGTACGATCCAGGCCTGAAAGTTACTCTGCAAATCTTCTCCTTCAACAGGAGCTCTAAGAATGAACAAGACAGAAGCACACCCTGTCCAAATTCTGAAATTTGCTTGCATTTGTGTACATGGTTTGAGTTGCAAGATGCCTTGCATGCTGCCTGTAGACTTCATGTTTCTGGTCTCTATATCAATGCTGAGAACGAAGCAGTGTAGGCGGTTAGGGATCAATGACACACTCATGGCTTTACATTGTCCAATGGCAAGTGGATACTTTGAGGCTGACATTTACATTTATCTGTATGTGTTTCTGTGCAAGCCTGTTTTCAAATGATACTACCTGATCTTTCATTGTGTGCTGATCATTCCTCTGTTTAAACTCTACATAAATCCAAAAACAAATAAGAATGGGCAAACAGCTACAGTACATTTCAGACTCAGTATGAATTTATATATGCTTGCAATATAAAGAAGTAAAAAGAAAGCTACGTGCATTCTTTTCACTGTGCTTTTGGTAACTGGGATAATACAAACACACAGTGGTGTTCTTCAGAGAAATATGGACTTTACCTGGGCCGTCACCCCATGATTCACTAAATGTTGCACTAGCTCCTTGTCATGATGCACGAGGACATTCTCAATCATACCCAGGATGTTGATTGGTGGATTTGGAAAATACTCAAACCAATGTTGACACCAATTAGCTATAAAGAAAATAAGAACAAAATTAACTTTACACAGGAAAGAACTGCACAGTTTTTGTACTACAGGTGATACTCGAAAAATTTGAATATCGTGCAAAAGTTCATTTATTTCAGTAATGCAATGTAAAAGGGGAAACTGATATATGAGATAGACGCATTACATGCAAAGCAAGATAGTTCAAGACGTGATATGTCATAAGTGCGATGATTATGGCTTACAGCTCATGAAAACCCCAAATCCACAATCTCAGTAAATTAGAATATTGTGAAAAGGTGCAATATTCTAGGCTCACAGTGTCCCACTCTGATCAGCTAAGTAATCCATAACACCTGTAAAGGGTTTCTCAGCCTTTAAATGGTCTCTCAGTCTGGTTCATTAGGAATCACAATCATGGGGAAGACTGCTGAATTGACAGTTGTGCAGAAAACCATCATTGACACCCTCCATAATGAGGGAAAGCCTCAAAAGGTAATTGCAAAGGAATTTGGATGTTCCCAAAGTTCTGTATCAAAGCACATTAATAGAAAGTTATGTGGAAGGGAAATATTGTTCTATGTACACTCCTTGTTTTATTTATTGCATGTAATATTCTAATTTACTGAGATTGTGGATTTGGGGTTTTCATGAGCTGTAAGCCATAATCATCGCACGTATGACAAATCATGGCTTGAACTATCTTGCTTTGCATGTAATGCATCTATCTCATATATTAGTTTCCCCTTTTATGTTGCATTACTGAAATAAATGAACTTTTGCACAATATTCTAATTTTTTGAGTATCACCTGTATACATGGCAGTGGAGAAATGTCCACATGACTGTTTTTTCACAAATATTACATAAAACTTACTTAGCACAGTAGCAACAACTTCAAAGCAGATAAGCTGATTGTTCTGAAATAATTTCACAAATGGAAATGCCAGCAGAGGCAGATATTTAGTTTCTCCAAATATTGCAGACCAGTGAGCCAAGGAAGAGAGCGTTCTGTTGGAAAGACATAAAATTGAGACAAATCCTTAATTTCCCACATGGGAAGGATCACCGAGGAGTAAACCAAATCAAGTCAATGCAAATGGTCACATAGGTTAACTGGCATGGCTCTACATTGCTATTCCCTGCATGCATCAGTACAAAATAATGACACTTTAGAAGGTGAAACAAACTGATACGGATTCAAACTCACACAGAATCTGACCAAAATATTTTACTCTAGCCTCTATTGGTTTTTGGATAATCTGTTTTACATTATAGCTTTTTCCATAACAGTGGTTATACGTGTAACATTGTTTACTGCTTGGTTTTACCCAGTTAGTGATAATTCTATGCCACTACTTCTAACGTTCTGCTTTGTAGGTTTGACAAAACACAAACTCTAAAGTGAAAAAAGAAAATGTACCTCTGCAAAACTCTCAGAAGCTTTCTACTTTTGATGGGGTAATCCTGATGAAGAAGTGCATACTGAGAATGGGTGCCTTTGTCAATTAAACTGCTGAAAGCTGCATGATTCTCTGGCAGTTGGAGCAAAGACCTCCAAATAAACATTCTGTGCAGAAATACAAAGAGTGATCACACTTAATTTAAACACATTTTCAAAATGTAAACATTACAAATTTGTATACTACTCAGCTTATTTAGATAACTTAATTATACTTTTCAAAGTCACAGTTACAATAACATCTGCATCCACGACAAAACACTTAGTAAAAGATTTTTGTGTGTGACAGAAATTCTAAGTTGGTTTGTTAAAGGTTAATTCACAAAAATGAACCATCTCACAGTTCTACTAGGGAGCACCAACAGAAGGGCAAGGGAACATCTGAAATAGAACAGGAATTCCTAGGAGTAGACAAATGATCTGGGCCCAAAATAAGTTCTGAACAAGAATATAAAGATAGTATAATGAAAAAAGAAAACCTCACAAATATTGTGCCTTCCAATAAAACCCCCACTTGCATATTCATTTATGTGATCAAATGGAACAGAATAGGAAATATTTTTTTTTGCAAACATTCCCAAACAAAAAGAACAGGAGTTTCAACCTACCCCTTATCACTTAGCTAAAAATCAATCAGTTGTAACACTACCTATATTTTGTTGGATACTCTCCGAAGCCTTTTAGTAAAGCCTGCATTCGTGGTTTATTCAGCCCACTTGGCAATTCATTCTGAAAGACAAATATATTGTTATTGTGAATTCAGGTACCTAGAGGGCAAAATGGGAAACTAGATTGAAGACAGTGGCCAATCCTGGGTCCAATTTTAATAGGAGCACTCCAAACACGTAAAGCACTTTAGCAAGTTATGGTTCTTGGGATGTTCTAGTTTTTAAAACATAAAACAAAAAGGTATAACTTACAACACTTTAAAAGATCCATAGATTCAGTAAATAAAAATAATTACATACCTCCTTATTTTCACAAGCTGGATTTGTCTCTGGCCTCAGTATTCTAGTCTTGACTATTTCATCCTTTGATTTCCAAGGCCGACAAGTCCTACCAGATGAGATCCTGACTTTCTCGCTACTTACGCTGGTCTTATTGACAGTTGAATCTTTGTCTTTTGATAAATCTACCATTTTAACAAGCGGTGGTGGGGGCTAAACATAAAAGTAAAAAAAGTATTAGTGATTTCTGTCATTCAGAAAATAAAACTAAAGCAACAACAGCTAAGAAATGAAAGCAAAGAGAGTATCAAGACGGGCAAGGGGAGGAGATTATATATAAAGACAGACTAACAGGGTTATTCCCACACCAGACTGTCTGGTTGCATATGTGGTCATTCGGATTGAAAATTCCAGACGTTGTTGATGGAAGATTTTGTAATTCAGATCCCGAACAGGTCTGAAATTGGTCCGGACTGGACGGCTGAAATCCAGGCCAAATGAGCCAAGTGCAGGCTTGGAGATTTCAACTTCGGCCGGAGGATGGAAAAAAACAAACAAAAAAACAGGCAAACAATTTGCCTGCAGGCAGTACTAGTTTTATGCTAATGGCAGCCCAGTCGCTAGAAAAAACCCCATCCCATTGGCATCAGGTGGGGGCTACTTTAAAATTTAAGTGAGGAGGAACCCATTGTTCCCTCCCCTGGCCCCCATCCAAGGACGACAGGTGGGGGCCCTAATCTTGTAAGATAGAGTGTCTCCTCCACTGGCCCCCCACCCATTCCGGCGTGTGGTGGCCCTAGTTAATTATAATATGGGGAGGGTTGACAAATCGCTGTCCACCCTCTCTAATAATAGTACCCCCATTGTACCTAGGGGTCCTAAACCCTAAAATAAAGTCCCTACCTACCACATCTCTCACCCTAATAATAGTGAGGAGAGGGGAATAAAATCTAATAAATAAATAAAACATTTATCTTTCTATCCAGTCTTCTTTCTTCTACTTCTTTATCCCCCAAAATTCCATAATTCCGGAAGTTGCAAAAAAATAAAAATAAAAAAAATGAATAATAGATCTTCACCAATGCAGGGCTTGCTGCAGAATAGGCTCAGGACAGCCCTTTTATAGGTTTCCCACGTTATGAAACCTGTCTCGAGATTTGGCTGTCAGAGCTCTGATTGGTTGGCTTACTAGCTTAGCTGTCATATCATGGGAAATCTACAAACGGGTTTCCCCCTCAATGAGCACTCATTCTATTACGGTGAGGTTTTTATTTTTCCGGTATGTTATTAAGTTGGTTAAGAAGACTTCTAAAAGTAAGTAAAATTTTATTTATTATTTTAAACATTTTTAGGTTTTAGATTTTATGGCTCCCTTCTCACTGTTATTAGGATGAGACTTTATTTTAGAGTGAGGCTAAGGGATTCCTAGCCTTCCAGGGGAGGGGTGGAAAAAGTCATATTCGCCCATCCCATTTTATAAATATTAGGGCCCCTACCAAACAATGTGAATGGGAGCCTGGGGTGGGGACACTAGGCCCCATATGTCCCTCCTCCCTAAATATTAGAGTAGCCGATGCCCAATGCCAATGGGATGAAGCCTTTTCTAGCATCTGGGCAGCAATGGCTACCAAGTTGCTAGTATTAAAGGTTTAGTAGACATGCCCCCAGCTGGAGATAGAATACCACCATTATAGTATTATGGGAGTGTTATTGACCAACTATACTATTTCCATGTGGCAGCTGACTAGCTAGCACTGGCGTGCTGCCCAATAATTAATCCTTGAACCTCCGAGGGTTTTTAACTATTTGCCCACTGACTACTAGTGTGGCCAGCAGGCAAATAGTTCTTCAAATTACCAATTCACTCGCAAATAGCAAGTGAATGATAATTTGTGAACGAGAATCCTGCCGAATGCATTCATTTCATCATCAGCCACCAGGCGGTCGTTAATAAATCTCCGATTCTGGTGCTGCACGTTGGTTCGGAAGCAATAATGATTCTCTGAACCAATGTTACAGAATCGGTCAGACCAAATTATTTCAGTGAATAAACCTGTATATATAAAAAATTAAAAATTAAATTAAAAACGTTGAACATTACCTTATTGATTTCTCTGGTCAGAACTTGGACATTATATAGGTTCACACTGCCATTCTCCATTATGCTGGCAATGTACCGGCCATTGGTGCTGATAGATGAAGTAACTATTCCGTCATCATGGGTGCCAATGTCAAATATAAGTTTGCACGTGTGAATATTGATAAAGCGCATTATACCATCTTGGCTGAGCACCCCTAGCACCTGCGTGAAAAATCTGAATTTGTGAAGTCAGAAACTGGTAAAACAATTATATAATATTTTAAAATAGCAAATTACATTTCAAATGCTGTATCGTCATTTAAAGGGGAAAACTTAAATATCCTTTTCTCTGCGGTGTAGATGCAGAGAAGGCCTTTTACAAGGTTGCCTGGGTTCAATATGTTTTTTTTGCATACTTCGTCTTTCATAAAAAGAACTGCAAAACAATATAACCATGTTTATTACAACTAATGGCCCAGAATGCAATCGAGGCTCGAACATGGATGCACACTCTTGCCCTACACGGTTTAATGGGGCACTGTAAAGACAATAACCATTATGAGGACCTGTAGTAGATATGGTGACAGAAGTCTCTTTACAGAGATTGCTATAGAAAAGGTTCCTCATCCATTTTGAAAATATACATTTTGGTCAGTTTAAGATGGAATTGAGGATATTAAAGGGATGCTATTGGCACCCAGAACACTTCATCTCATTGAAGTGGTCTGGGTGCAATGTCCCTGTCCTCTTTATCCTTCAATGTAAAACAGTTTCAGAGAAACTGCAATGTTTACATTACAGGGTTAAGACAGCCACTAGAGTTGCTTCCTGAATTTGATGTTAGATGTCCTCTTTGCATGAGGATGTCCAGCATCTTCAAAATCCCTACAGGAAAGCATTGATTCTATGCTCTTCTATGAGGAAGTTTTAAAGCGCTGGAGGAGGAGTCAGATCCAGCGCTGAGAGAAATCGGCATTGGAAATGAGGTAAGTGTTAAAAGGGTTTTTAACCCTTTCAACATCAGGCAGAGGAAAAGGGGTGAGGGCGACACAGAGGCAGAGGGACACTATACCAATACAGCTTTGTATTCCTATCACTAGAGTGTTCCTTAAACTTCCACTCACCTACGGGGACTGATGTATGTATCGAATCATTCAAAAGCTGAAAAGAAGCTAGGCTTCAGATAAGTATACCTGAATCACCGTGCATGATGGCATGTCACAAAACCATTGCTTACCTGACTGGAACAGCCATCAAAGCTATCTGGGAGAAACTCCAGCTGCCTCACACTTCGCACTGTAGCAGGCAGCTGGATTATTCGGTAAAGCTGCTTCGAATCCAAACACCAGAGATGCACATTGCACGATTTTCCTCCAGCTGCCAGAATTCTCCCATCCCTGAATAAGAACAGATCAAATTATTACACAAATGCATTATCTGTTTACACTGTGATTCAGTTTCTGTAAAAACATTAGTCAATGATAAATTATTTAAATGATCAATGTCAGAGCACCATTCATGTACTATGAAAGTTACGTGTAAAAAGCTAACGCAAGGGCACGTTCTTAAAGAACGAACGATCATCATAGACATTGTGGGAAATCTTGGTTCTATGTAAGGTTTCCCAACCAAAAGCATGGTGGTAGCCAAGTCTGTCCAAGTCATTCCTGATCCATGCAGATCCTGGTATATGCAGTGAAGAGATGAACCTAATAACTGAACTTAAAGGGACACTATAGTCACCTGAACAACTTTAGCTTAATGAAGCAGTTCTGGTGTATAGGTCATGTCCCTGCAGTCTCAATGCTCAATTCTCTGCCATTTAGAAGTTAAATCACTTTGTTTATGAACCCTAGTCACACCTCCCTGCATGTGACTTACACAGCCTTCCTAAACACTTCCTGTAAAGTCATCTAAAGCTTATCCTTCCTTTATTGCAAGTTCTGTTTCATTTAGATTTGCTTATCCACTGCTATGTTAATAACTTGCTAGACCCCGCAGGAGCCTCCTGTATGTGATTAAAGTTCAATTTACAGAGAAAGATTTTTTTTTTTTTAATTGTTTAAGGTAAATTACATCCATTTTTTATTTTTTTTCATGCAGGCTGTGTCAGTCATAGCCAGGGGAGGTGTGGCTAGGGCTGCATAAACAGAAACAAAGTGATTTAACTCCTAAATGGCAGTGAATTGAGTAGTGAAACCTGAGAGGCATGATCTATACACTAAAACTGCTTCATTAAACTAAAGTTGTTTAGGTGACTATAGTGTTATTATAGTGTTAAAAACCAAGTTTAGGGAAAAAAAACTAAACATTAGGTAACATTTTATCGCAGAGATTAATTAGGGAATGTTCTGGTAAATGCTTGTTTCTCCAACACAGAACTAACACACTTAATTCTTCAATGCTAAACTGTTACTAGATGCACTGTCGTATTCAGTTAATTTGGGAATCCAATAAAATACATAAAAGAAAAACAAACAATATAAATAAGTACATACTTCCCTTTGCTGCTCATCTATTGTTTACAATGGGAAACATGCATATACCAATATAAACCTGCCCACCAGAGGTTTATGGAATATGAAGTTCTGTGACAGCCAGTAATAACACTCAGAAACAACAGTGCTGCTCCTATTGCAGGGCAGATTTTAGTTAATCAATGCAGCACAGGAGAAGTAAATATAGACGCACACTCCCAGCACCAGGTTGTACTGTAACACAGCGTTAATCAAATATAGCGTCCAGGAAGTAACAAAGTGGAATTGCACCTTGTAATAGCAAAGGCATTATAATGCATCTTCGATCCGTCCTCAGGACACGGTAGCTGATATTTGCAAGAGAGGGTGTCGCTCTCCCAGGCAAAGATCGAGTCATCTTTAAAGCAGCTCAAGATTGTGTTACTTAAAGGAAGGAAGAACACCTGTAGTAGAAAAAGACAATCAGCGTTCCCTCGTAGCCACACACAACCATTATCTGAAACATATTACATCTTTGACACACATTATATACTGTAAGCACCATAATCACTTCATCTTCCCTTAATCTAAATAAAACCAATCAGAGAATCTTGGGGCTGCAGTTTTGTCCTCAATGCTTCTCTGTGAGAAATATTTGACAATGCCCAGCACTAACATTTTTTGCCCAAGGGCCCCTGAAAGAGACATGCTCGCTTGCAGAGCGCATGCCCCGGTGTGCAATGGAAGGTAGATCTACATAGCTGCAACTGTCCCCTATAGGTGGTGCTGTCTTGGTGGTTTGTTTTTAGCTCCTGGTGCTTCAGCCACCAGGAATCACTTTGGTGGTGATAACATTCTTGCAATGAGAGAGAGACAGAGAGTGCAAGGAAAGAGACAAAGAGATAGTGGGAGGAGAGAGACAGAGAGATATAAAGGGATTCCTTTAAAAGTTCCTAATGCTTCTGACCTTGCAGTAAGTGTAAGTAGTAGAGAGACCCCTCCACCACAGGGAAAGGGGAGTTACCTTATCGTATTAATCCTTGTATATGAGCAGAAGTGAGCATGCATAATATGGACAAAATTGACACAGGAAGCGCTAGAACATAATATTCTGTCTGTCTGAGTGACAACCTTGGGGTACTGTTTATAACTACACTAATTTTACAAATTGCATTAACAGAATACAAAATTGGTGCAAACACAATGCAAAGTATCTACACCCAAATCAGTGTCAAGTCAAATCACATGAAGCAACCCATACAGAACCCGGATATAAAACTTCCCGAACAATAAAAAACAATATTATGGGTGCGCAACCAAATTTAAAATACAGTGCAAACGTGGATTATAAAATGTATATACATAAATATTAAAATGTGAATGTATATAATTTACACTGTAATGTAGTGAAAAAAAAACCATATAGAGTATACTTGCACAGACTTTTGCAATGTCCTTCTTAATAATCTAGAACAGTGGTTCTCAAACCAGTCCTCATGGCCCACCAACAGTCAAGGATTTATGAATTTCTCTTTTTTTTCCCCCAATGAAGATACTAACAAAACCTGGACTGTTGGGGGGTCTTGAGGACTGGTTTGAGAAACGCTGATCTAGAACATATAAAACCAAAAGAGAAACATAGTACAGCAATGTAAAACATAGGGGTATGAATAGAGTTAAGCCAAAAACAAACTCACAAACGTGGAGTGATTGAAGTACCACTCCAGACTATAAGGCAAAGGGAGGATCAAGCCCATGTGTACGTTGGATCCAAATAGTAGACTTGCCACCAGCTGAACAAAATACCCAATGCTTTATTTATGAATAAAAACAAAATAACTGTTACGTCCGGCTCACAGTGTGTAAGTAAAGTCTCTGGTTCGTTGTTTTAGGCGATCTGCCTTTATAGATCACGAAGTGATTTAGGTGAGCTGTCCCTATTGATAGACTGAATTATTTTTTATTTGTTTCTTAGTAATTTTTTATAGGATAATAGGGGGCTGTATGACAGGATGTAAGAGAATATCTGTATTTTCCCTACCTGTATGTAGTTGTGGTTTGGATTTGATGTTTATGCGTTATATCTGTTTTCATAACAGTTTCTAGGATAATTATCAGATGTACTGTATTCTCGGTTTCTTTTTATATAAAGACTATTTTCTTACCATCTATACACACACAAGCAATATAGTGTTACAGGATCCACTTGGATTTTTAACTGATATGAGGTGGGACTTGAGATTATTTTTTGTTACGGTATAAAGAGAAGCAGAATGGGACGACTCCCTACATGCTTTAGAAAGCCCCAAAAGGCGGGGCGAAACGCGTAGCACGCTGAACACACAGAACATGGAAGTGAAGTCAGAGATCAGTTGGTTGTTTGCGGGGAGGAGAAAGCGCACTCGGACTGCACCCCAACGAACCAGAGACCTTATCTACTTACACACTGTGAGCCGGACTTAACAGGTATTTTACTGTACTTCAACCACTCCACGTTTGTGAGCTTGTTTTGGCTTAACTCTAGTCAGACACCTATTTTTTACATTGCTGTACTGTGTTTCTCTTTTGGTTTTATATGTTCTAGATCATTACAGTGTAAATTATATACATTCACATTTTCTCCCAATCTATACATTTGCTAGCAACATGTATAGATAGCATTTTATCTTGATTTACAGCGCATACATTTTTATAGGCATCACAGGCATGCATAGAGAGAAATAAAGGGTTACTTTTACTGGTACTTTAAACATAGTATTAGGTGTATAGTCAACATAATTTAGTTAAACAGAGCAAGTTTTTCTTAGACATTTTAGAGAATCTATGCGAAAAAAATATTTTCCAAAAATCTTCTAACAAGAACCTTTTGTATTCCAACAGACTGGCGGACATTGAGTTTTCTTTTCCTTTGGAAGGTATCCAGGTCCCAGAGTTGGGCAGTGTCACTGGAGGTTGTAATTGCATATCTCCCAGAGCTATGTACAGAGATGGATGTAACCGAAGAATCATGGCCACGCATCCAACTCACCATTTCCTTTGTATCTACAAAAAAAAATAAAAAAGCAGAACAGTATCACAATGATACCAAATGCAAAAAAATGTATACCAGATAAAAAGAATAATAAATAAAATAAAAATTAAAAAAGCACAGCACAAAGCCATCAACTGTCTTGTTATGTATTTGTTGAATTTAACAGGATCTACAGTCTTCGCATATGAGATGAACTGTAAAAAGCTTATGTTAACTGGCTCCAGCAGTTCCCAGACACTATAGATTCTAAGCTTCACACAGGACCTGGAATCTGATTTACCAGATTCTGTCCAATTAACTTTGTAACCCTTTTTCAGCGCTACATAACATGCTATGCCAGAATAGTGCAAAAATTGGCCCAAACCCTGCATGTAACCATGGGGAACACCCTGCCGATTATTTGACACTTCTAAGCCTGAAGGCTGTGGTTCCAGCTAGTGTCTGACTTTCCTGAGCCCTGCAGCTACCCTCTTCGTGGGGTGAGGTGGTCGAACCTCAGCCTTGACTTGGGGCTTGCTTGCTTGCTTAGGGCCCCCCCCCTTCCACACACCGGCAGGGGATATACTGGTCCCCACTGGTCCCCACTGGAATACTGATGTGGTCTCATCGACAAGATACACTGCTGAATCGGAGGATTGAGGTCTGGCTATCAAGATGGTCGCCCTGTTGGAGTCAACAGCTAGAGACGCCTGTCCGCAGTCATCCACGCATGCGGGGAGGAAACAGTTCGACCTCCCGCCATCTTGAGTGCAGCGTCCGGGCCCTCCTGTTTGCGACCACTTTGGCCATAGGGTGAGGACCAGAATCAACCCCCCAATCCGGGGGGGGGGGGGGGGGGGACAGGGCCAGGTCCACTCTGTTTCGTGCCCCTAAACGGGGTCAGGGATGCAGGATAGTGGGGCGTCGGCAGTCCGCCCCACTCACCGCCGGAGTAGGCTCCAGGTTATGCTTCGAGACTCTCTCCTCCAGGGACCTGAAGCTCGGTGAGCTAGCCCCTCCCTGGATCCAACAGCCCCCCGTGTTCCAGACAACGTCGTTGCTGGTCGGTTTTGGGGTGAAAAATCATATTTTAGTAGGGTGTCCGCAGTTTAGTTGCAGGAGCTGTTCTTACTTGCGACAGTCCAGCTCAGCGGTCCGGCCCCGCCCCCACTTCCTGTAGGAATCATAGCCCAACAACTAGGGGACTAATAAACACCAATGAAGCAAACATCTCTCAAGCTCAGAACTGGAAAAGAAAAATCAACCTTAGAGGGACACTGTAGGCACTGTAACCATTTCATCTCACATAATTGGAGCCCTATAGTGCTACCTTGTCATTCACTGTTAAATTACTTCTGAGTAGTTTAACATGAAATAAGAGTCCCTGGTCATTCACAGCCTGGCCAAGACACACATTACACACTTCCTTCTAGTCATACTCATTCATACTATCACTGGGTGCTGTGATTGGCTGAAAGTGGTCATCTGACACTCTCAGCCAATTACAGCCACCTACTGCTGCTCAGGCTAATGCTTCCTCAGTAGCCCAAGTAGAACAAAGGGGGTGGGCTGCTGGGGACTCTTATTTAACATTAAACACTTAAAAAATGATTTCACACTTATTATTGGCACTCCCACAACAAGTTTGCTAAGAATGTTGATGCATATAGGTATGGAGTAAATGTTGTTCCAACTTGTTCAAATTAAGAACGATCTGAAGGAGCAAAAAAGTTTAAATGCAGAAAGAGAATGTTAAAAATTAACTAGTTGAAAACTCAACGCATTATTTGTATAACAATGCGACTACTGGCAATGCAAACATTCTAACATGTCAGTGCAAATGTTTATAAATGCTTTTAAGAGTAACAGCTTTATCTGTTACAAAGGTAGCCCTTTACTTGGTAAAAAATGATTGCTAACTCACAAAATGAAATATCCAACAAGAATACAAGCATTTAGATGGCCAATGTTGAAAAAAGGTGTTGGAAGATGCTATAGGAGTTCTTTTCAATTCCTTTAACATACATACATGACTATTCCAAGATTAGAATTGGTCAAACCTTCATATAACTTACCTGTGTCAAAACATTTAATAGAGTAATCGGCAAGGGCCACAAGGAATTCGGACTTTCTGTGAAGGTTAAATGCTAGAGCTGTGCATGCCTGTGTGGTCCGTTGAACAAGATCAAACCTATTAGGAAAAATACCCAAATCATTTTTTAATGTGATGCAGGTAACATACATTGAATGATACAGGATTATATAACCTATATATATATATATATTTTTCAGCTGAGAAAATCACCACCTATTTGATCTGCTGAGGCCTATCTTGTATACAGCCTGGCATTATAGAGTAACCTGACAAGACATCTAACTGACTACAAACAATTACGCAGAATTTGAGTGAAATTTTGTCTATCAGTGTTTTGAATGCCCACTGGCTTTTGAGGAATGACCTGGATTATACACAGGAAGACATGTAGTAAGGATATCACCGTTGCACTGAAAATAACCTATAAACTTGGTTAACCTTTTTCTCCCCATGTGACATTTTTATACTTTAAAAATATATTAAAGGGTTATTCCAAGCACCATGACCTCTTTAGTGATTTGACGTGTTCATAGTGACTCGAGTTTGTATGTGCAACATTTCACTATGAAACGCTGCACATGCAGAGTTTAACCCCTCTGCTGCTGGAGGTGTAACACCACTTTTGGCAGCATCACTGAGGTTTCATCAGGCAGCCAGGAACTAGAGTTCCAGGCTGGCTAACGTCAATTCTGTGCAACTATCATTGCACGGAATTTCATTCATTGGTTGAGAGTGGTCAGCTGATGCTCTCAGCCAACGAATTGCTAAACGGTGTGCACCATTGCCAGTGAATTAGGCCAGGTTACTCCTGCAGTTTGCTCTGGTGGTTATGATGATTGGAGTAACCATTTAACGAGTTAACAATTGATATCACAATCTAGATTAGTCCTTGGCACACTTTGCAGGAGAAAGAGAAACAAACATTTATTTTGCTGAATGACAAAGGCCAGAGATTATAACAATGACTGACAGGGAGCAAGGACAGAAGCACTCCATTTTAGGAAACAGCACACTTTTTCTGGAAATCAATCTAATCTGCACATTGTACAAACTCAAATCCCATATGCCCTTATCAAATCAGTAACCTAAAATGTCATATATAAAACAATACTTAGAGACACTTTCTTACTTGTTTCTATTTAAATTGAATGAATAGACATTTCCAAGATGATCACCAGCAAGAAAGGAGTCCCCAGGACCGTCAAAAGCCACCTGTAAAAATCTTCCCGTATTGGAGTGACTGGCAGTACTTCCATGCACAATATTCACTATAATCCTGGAAAGACATACAAAACAAAATAGCCCAACCCCATATAAATTAACTTCCAATGGTATGATGTATTTATTTTTAAACCAATAAAAATTGGACTCGCTTCCCCAATAAATATGATTGGATTGACGCCAACATATTCAGTTTCTATAAACTCTCAGCAAATCAGAATGTTTCTAAAAAAGAAACGGCTGCTAGTATATGAACCCCAGAAGTGTAAAAAAAAAAATTTAAAAAAAGACATTATTTGAGGGTTTAAGATGCATGCTGGAATGAAGCAAACCCTGGAACTAATCTAACACAAGACTACAACGTGACAGGTATTAAATTGCGTGTTAGAACTATTTTACGCTCAGTCCAGCTGACAGCAGCAGTATACAATAGTTTGTCATTTTTAAATGAAAACTTTAGTTCATCAATGTCATAAGATGCAAAATGCTCTGGGTAAAGCAGTTTCACTGCAAGGATAGAATAAGATTATTGGGAACTATTGAAACCATTGAAATAATGAGTGGAAGATGGTAGCAACACCATCATGTCTGATGAAGCATGTCCGACAGGTGAATTTTACTTGAAGTAACTTACTATGTGTTGGTTGAGATATAAACCGCATGTAATGTTCTTAAAGGTACATTATATGTATTCCTAGCACTATAGTGTTCCTTTAAATTGTGTCTAAGTGCATCTATGCACTCCCATAGTGCTGCTTTTGCCACACTTAAGTTTATTTACTAAATACTGTAGTAAGTTGAAACCTGAATTATAAATAAAACAGCCAAGCTGTAACTAAAGTAAAGTTGGATAAGATTTCCAAATCAACAATTTTTGCTTAAATATAGTAATTTGGTTTTCCGTTTATTACAATTCGGTGTTTAGTGACTTTAGCATTTCTTGAGCACACATATAAAGCACAGCCCACCACAAACAATAATATAAAAACACAGATAATCTAATAAAATAATTCCCCTGGCACCATAATTGGTACAGATTGCTTTGTCCCCTTTAAAACAGTTACAAAAGCCACTTCCTCCTTTAGATACATTTCTTTTCAAAGTCATTTATTGGAACTTCACTGGAGGAGGATAGAGAAAAAAGGCAAACAGTATAGACCGTGGCGCTAGACACAGCAGCTGGAACACACTAAGTGGGAATAATCACAAAAATCCCACAGTAAAGTGAATACAAACAACAATGATAGTGTGCAGCGCAAAACAAGGTGATACCACAGAGTAAAATGTGATACATGCACTGTGAAGGTATATATACCCAATGAAAGATACACAGATACCCCAATGTATAAACAGAGTCAGATCTTAACTGAAGATCAGAAGATACTGAAGGATTCAATATAACCTTTCTCCTCTGTCAGTCTCTTTTTCAAATGTTTAGAGAGGAAAAAAATCCAAGGATATTCTTCTGTGTGGAGCTTGTTCCATAGGCACAACGCGTTTCGACGAACAAAATCGTCTTCCTCAGGTACAATAACCTATTATTATTATTGTACCTGAGGAAGACGATTTTGTTCGTCGAAACGCGTTGTGCCTCCACACAAGAATATCCTTGGATTTTTTTCCTCTCTAAACATTTGAAAAAGAGACTGACAGAGGAGAAAGGTTATATTGAATCCTTCAGTATCTTCTGATCTTCAGTTAAGATCTGACTCTGTTTATACATTGGGGTATCTGTGTATCTTTCATTGGGTATATATACCTTCACAGTGCATGTATCACATTTTACTCTGTGGTATCACCTTGTTTTGCGCTGCACACTATCATTGTTGTTTGTATTCACTGGAGGAGGATAGGCTGATCAGAAGGGAATGTCCTGGTGCTGTATAACACAAGTTTAACTGCAATTTAAATTATTAAACAAGGGCACCAAGTATTTTAAAATTAAATGGGAAAAGTCTTGCATTTAAAAATGTTGGACTCCCCTCTTAAGACAAATGGCTGCATCTCCCATAGGGAGGTAATGGGCCTTTAGGCAGAGAGGAATATATCTAATTTATTTTTATTTTTTTTAGATAAAACCAGCTTGAGACTGAGGGCAAGCTGAGTTGTTGTTCATTCTCAGTATTCTCTTGCATTTTTTTGCACACGCCATAGGATGTCCCCAAAGTAAAGAAGTAATAATGACATGGACCACATGCTCATTGTACCTAGTGAGGTTTAGCCACACCTCACTGACAAAGCCCCCCAAGGTCAGAATGATCGTTTGGGGTTGCTGTATAAATTTATGTAGAGCGGGCTGGCCAACATTTCATAACAGGACCACCCACCCTTTTGGGTGAGAACAGCCTGGTTTGCAAATTACTCAGGTACTCTCTGTAACAGTACAAGATGAGCAGAGAACCCCCAAATGCAAGCCAATTGAGCAGTTGTCCATTCTTAGTATTACCGGTATGTTGTACTCTATAGTGGTTTATGCTATTTTTGACAAATATACACTGGTGACCACACCCCAGAGACCAACCCCAAGGGTGGTGTCTTGTTTACCCATCATTGGTGGCAGGAGTGGACTTTCTATGCCAGATCTTTCCAGTTTCTTTGCTTCCCAAATCTGTGGTTTGCATGATGGCAACCAAAAAAATGCTGATAATGATCACAGCTAGCAGATGAATGTCAAATCAAGCTGTAAAAACAGGTGAATATATAAATGAATAAATTACTTAAAAACTATTTAATTTTCAAAGAATTTAAACTGCTGGTAAAGCAATTGCATAAACAAAAAAATAAAATTAGAGGAAAGAACAAACAACTTTCTTTAATGAACACTGAACAAAATTATAAATGCAACACTTGTTTTTGTCCCCCTTTTTCATGAGCTGAACTCAAAGATCTAAGACTTTTTAGTACACAAAAGGCCTATTTCTCTCAAATATTGTTCACAAATCTGTGTTAGTGAGCACTTCTCCTTTTCCGTAATCCATCCACCTCACAGGTGTGGCATATCAAGATGCTGATTAGACAGCATGATTATTGCACAGGTGTGCCTTAGGCTGGCCACAATAAAAGGCCACTCTAAAATGTGCAGTTTTACTGTATTGAGGGAGTCTGGGGGGTCCGAAAATCAGTCAGTATCTGGTGTGACCACCATTTGCCTCACACATTGCAACACATCTCCTACGCATAGCGTTGATCAGGTTGTTGATTGTGGCCTGTGGAATGTTGGTCCACTCTTCTTTAATGGCTGTGCAAAGTTGCTGGATATCGGCAGAACCTGGAACATGCTCAATGGGTGACATGTCTGGTGAGTATGCCCTGTACAGTGAAAACCGGGATTTATCTGTGAAGAGAACACCTCTCCAAAGTGCCAGATGCCATCGAATGTGAGCATTTGCCCACTCAAATCGGTTACGACGGCAACAAACTGCAGTCAGGTCGAGATGAGTACGACGAGCATGCAGATGAGCTTCTCTGAGACAGTTTGTGCAGAAATTCTTTGGTTATGTAAACCGATTGTTGCAGCAGCTGTCCGGGTGGCTGGTCTCAGACGATCTTGGAGGTGAAGATGTTGGATGTAGAGGTCCTGGGCTGGTGTGGTTACACGTGGTCTGCGGTTGTGAGGCTGGTTGAATGTACTGCCAAATTCTCTGAAATGCCTTTGGAGACAGCTTATGGTAAGGAAATGAACATTCAATTCACGGGCAACAGCTCTGGTGGACATTTTTGCAGTCAGCGTGTCAATTGCGCGGCACTTGAAACATGCAACATATATGGCATTGTGCGGTGTGATAAAACTGCACATTTTAGAGTGGCCTTTTATTGTGGTCAGCCTAAGGCACACCTGTGCAATAATCATGCTGTCTAAGCAGCATCTTGATATGCCACACCTGTGGGGTGGATGAATTATCTCGGCAAAGGAGAAGTGCTCACTAACACAGATTTAGACAAATTTGTGAACAATATTTGAGAGAAAGAGGCCTTTTGCGCACATAGAAAAAGTCTTAGTTATTTGAGTTCAGCGCATTAAAAATGGGGGCAAAAACAAAAGTTGCGTTTATAATTTTGTTCAGTGTATATAAGAAGGGCACAAAATTCTGTGAGTCTATTATAGGCAGAGAGATCAAGAGGGGTATCTAGTGGGGATGGAAGGGAGAAATGAATGGATTTGGTGTCAGGTACTAGTACTCAAAAACAACACTCACCAAACTTCAAAATTGAACATCCATAGGCATCTCTAGGCTGCTTAGGAAAAACAAACAAAATAAATAGTGAATAAACAGTCCCGTAACTAGACTATTTCTTAGCTAAAGGGAAAATTTTGTGAATTGCAAACTTTCAATTAAAATAATCAACTTGGAAAAAATATTTCTAAAGGCTTGACTATTTTACAAGCAGATGTAAATGAGTATTACACGTCGGTGAGTGTATATTTAATAGATTTTTGTTGCCTATGTTATGGGTATATACAGATGTGTTTGTTTTCGCTGTATGTGTGTGTAATACACATTTTAAATATAGTTTGCTGCATTTGCCTGCGGTTATCTATGAAGTAGATTTATTTTTATTTTTTTAATATGTTTTGTGTTTCCCCTTAATGTATTGTAAGAAGGAAACGACGCCTACAAGTATATCTCTGGTCTGGATGTATATATGACCCTCTACCCTGCTTGTATGTTAGTAGCTGTCTGTCTCTCCCTCTTGACTGTATTGCAGTAGTTGCCTGTCTCTACATTATCTGTATTAGTGTGTCTGTCTCTCCTTCCCCTGGATTGCAGTGTCTGTCTGTCTCTCCTTCCCCTGGATTGCAGTGTCTGTCTGTCTCTCCTTCCCCTGGATTGCAGTGTCTGTCTGTCTCTCCTTCCCCTGGATTGCTGTGTCTGTGTCTCTCCTTTCCCTGGATTGCTGTGTCTGTCTGTCTCTCCTTTCCCTGGATTGCTGTGTGTCTGTCTCTCCTTTCCCTGTGTCTGTCTGTCTCTCCTTTCCCTGGATTGCTGTGTCTGTCTGTCTCTCCTTTCCCTGGATTGCTGTGTCTGTCTGTCTCTCCTTTCCCTGGATTGCTGTGTCTGTCTGTCTCTCCTTTCCCTAGATTGCTGTGTCTGTCTGTCTCTCCTTTCCCTGGATTGCTGTCTTTCTCTCCTTTCCCTGGATTGCTGTCTGTCTTTCTCTCCTTTCCCTGGATTGCTGTCTGCTCCTTTCCCTGGATTGCTGTCTTTCTCTCCTTTCCCTGGATTGCTGTCTGTCTTTCTCTCCTTTCCCTGGATTGCTGTCTGTCTTTCTCTCCTTTCCCTGGATTGCTGTCTGTCTTTCTCTCCTTTCCCTGGATTGCTGTCTGTCTTTCTCTCCTTTCCCTGGATTGCTGTCTGTCTTTCTCTCCTTTACCTGGATTGCTGTCTGTCTTTCTCTCCTTTACCTGGATTGCTGTCTGTCTTTCTCTCCTTTACCTGGATTGCTGTCTGTCTTTCTCTCCTTTACCTGGATTGCTGTCTGTCTTTCTCTCCTTTACCTGGATTGCTGTCTGTCTGTCCTTTACCTGGATTGCTGTCTGTCTGTCCTTTACCTGTATTGCTGTCTGTCTGTCCTTTACCTGTATTGCTGTCTGTCTGTCCTTTACCTGTATTGCTGTCTGTCTGTCCTTTACCTGTATTGCTGTCTGTCTGTCCTTTACCTGTGTTGCTGTCTGTCTGTCCTTTACCTGTGTTGCTGTCTGTCTGTCCCTTCCCTGTGTTGCTGTCTGTCTCTCCTTTCCCTGTGTTGCTGTCTGTCTCTCCTTTCCCTATGTTGCTGTCTGTCTCTTCTTTCCCTGTGTTGCTGTCTGTCTCTCCTTTCCCTGTGTTGCTCTGTGTCTGTCTGTCCTTTACCTGTATTGCTGTCTGTCTGTCTCTCCTTTCCCTATGTTGCTGTCTGTCTCTCCTTTCCCTGTGTTGCTTTGTGTCTGTCTGTCCTTTACCTGTATTGCTGTCTGTCTGTCTGTCCTTTACCTGTGTTGCTGTCTGTCTGTCTGTCCTTTACCTGTGTTGCTGTCTGTCTGTCTCTCCTTTACCTGTGTTGCTCTGTGTCTGTCTCTCTCCTTTCCCTGTGTTGCTGTCTGTCTGTCTGTCTCTCCTTTACCTGTGTTGCTGTCTGTACAATGTATCCATGCACAGGATGTATGATGGGACAGTCAGTACTCAGGTCATGTGACCGCGTGTCAGCCAATGCACGCAGTGACCACGCCCACTCCCAACGAACACCTGAGAGCGCGACACAGCGGGAAATTCAAACCGCCCACAACTCCCAGCCACCACCAACTGCCAGCTCAGACCGCCCACAACTCCCAGCCACCACCAACTGCCAGCTCAGACCGCCCACAACTCCCAGCCATCACCAACTGCCAGCTCAGACCGCCCACAACTCCCAGCCACCTCCCCTGCCCGTACCGTGTGCCGCTCTGTGTAAGGCACTGTTTACTCCGGCCGAGTAGGAAGATGACGTCAGACCATAGAGGAGATGTGAAAGATAGAGCGTCAGTATGGCTCGGTTTCCGCCATCTTTGTTGTGGGCAGCTTGCCAGGAAGCGGGTCACATGATCCCTGCAATGTCTGACAGTGCATTCATTGTAACTCCCAGTATTCTAGAACAGGGTTATTGTTTACAGGGTCATAGTACTAAGTAATATATATTAAAGGGACACTCCAGGCACCCAGACCACTTCTGCCCATTGGAGGGGTCTGGGTGCCAACTCCCACTACCCTTAACCCTGCAACTGTAATTATTGCAGCTTTATAAACTGCAATAATTACATTGCAGGCTAACTCCTCCTCTAGTGGCTGTCTACTAGACAGCCACTAGAGGGCACTTCCTGGTTCCTAGCACAGGAAACCTGTGCTAGAGCATCGCTGGACGTCCTCACGCTGTGTGAGTACCTGCAGCGCCGCTCATTTCCCCATAGGAAAACATTGAAATGCATTTTCAATGCTTTGCTTTGGGGAGCGCTAATGCGCATGCCGACGCAGTCAGAAGGAGGAGCGGCGCGGAGGGAGAAGCAGCAACGTGGGACATCGTCGCTGCCTCAGGTAAGTTACTGAAGGGATTTTCACCCCTTCAGCAACCGGGGATTGTGGGGTGGGAGGGAGAAGGAACCTGCAGTGACAGGAAAACGGATTGTTTTCCTGGCACAGGCGTTTCGCTTTAATTACTGACATGTATGTTAATAAAGGAAATGAAGAACTGAAAAAAAGGGCAAGTTATGTTAAAGTATGTTACATATTGTAACTGTAGGTTAGAGTAGTAGGAGTTTGAGCTCAGGACTTAATTTTCTATGTTTGTATTTATTAAAATTATTTATAAAGCGCAAGCTTATAGCTATGTACAATACAGGTTAACACTGTAAGAGGTTTGGCCTTGATGTGACGGGTGAGCTTACACTTCAATGGCTATTGGCGAGATACTAAAAGTTATTTAAATGTGCATTGGGATTCAGGATAGTACGCAAGTAACTTTTTTTTGGGGGGGGTATGTATTGGGGCTGATGTGTACTATAGTCATTGCTGCTACCCAGGAGTAGTGGGATTTTAAATGCAGGGCTTAATTTTGTATGTTTACAGCAATGTGTTGTTTAGTTAATTAACCTGATTGCCCTTGGACTACAAGTGCTAACTAAGTCCTACTTGCTGGGAGTCTGAAGGCCATAAGTTGATCTGCAGTATAAAAGATAACATGGAAAATAAGAAATACCCAGCAAAATAATTAAACCTAAATAAGTTGAGCTGTACTGTTTAATGAGTAATGAGCAAGTTAGTAAATTATGTCCAGTAATAAAGGTCTCTCAGCCAATAGAATGCTTCTCATAGGTTATTTTGGTCTCAGTTTGAATAATTTTTTTATTTTTTTTATAAATCACTATAATTTGTTGTTTAGTAAATAAACCCTTAAAGTTTTTCCTTCATTTCCATGGTTTAAGTATATCATAATATTGAAAAGCGCTATGGAATCTGTTGGCGCTATATAAATGGCAATAATAATAATTTACATAACAATTCCACAAAGGTAACTTGAATATCCCTTAATAAATGTTTTATTAAAGGACCACTATAATGCCAGGAAAACATACTTGTTTTCCTGGCACTATAGTGCCCTGAGGGTGCCCCCACCGTCCGGCTCTGGGGAGAGGAAAGGGGTTAAACTTACCTCTTTCTCCAGCGCCGGGCGGGGAGCTCTCCTCCTCTGATCCTCCCTTTCGACTGAATGCGCATGCGCGGCAGGAGCAATGCTTTCCTATGGATGCTGGCGTCTTCTCACTGTGATATTCACAGTGAGAAGCACGCAAACGCCTCTAGCGGCTGTCAATGAGACAGCCACTAGAGGATTTGAGGGCTGGATTAACCTATTTACAAACATAGCAGTTTCTCTGAAGCTGCTATGTTTATAAAAAAAAATAGGTTAATCCTAGAGGGACCTGGCACCCAGACCACTTCATTAAGCTGAAGTGGTCTGGGTGCCTAGAGTGGTCCTTTAAGTGAAATCATTTTTGTTTTCATTGTTTATCACTATTTATATTTAATCCACCTGTTTACTCTTCTAGCTGAGTGTGAAAACTTGTACAAGTGGAATAATAAATATGGACTTGAAAACAAACATTATGCGTGATTTTTTTTTGTTCACTTTATCACATTTTTGCTGACCTTAATGGGACACTACAGGCACCCAGACTACTTCAGCTCATTGAAGTGGTCTGGGTGCAGTGTCGGCTGTTCCCCTTAGTCCTAGAGGCTCTTCAAGGAGTTTATCGAACACTAGGTCGGCTGACGCTGGACGTCCTCAAGCTCTGCATTAGGACATCCAGTGTCAGTAAAATCCTATAGTAAAGCATTGATTCAATGCTTTCCAACAGGGAGAGCCTAATGCACTCGCAGTGCTTGTCACACATTAGGTGCCCCACTTCAGAGGACATGGATTGTCGACCTAGTGCTGAGTGACATCGGTGCTGGAATCTGGTGAGTAAATAAAGGGTTTTAACTCTTTATTTGCCACGGGGAGGGCAGGGGCCTCTGTAGTGTTTTTGGAATACAGATTTGTATGCCTAACACTATAGATTCCCTTTAACCCCTTAAGGAAATGTGACATGTCATGATTCCCTTTTATTCCAGAAGTTTGGTCCTTAAGGGGTTAAAGCGGCTCTGTCACCATCGGTGGTCTTTGCATATTTTGCAATAACGCTTCAGGCTAACGCTGCAGCTTGGAGTGTAGCGGAAGAAAGTTATACTTACCTGAAGCTGTCTTCTTTCTTCAGCTTCTCGTGATTTAACTGTGAGAAGCCACATCATTGCTATACTCTCCTGCATGCTTGA